AGTCTTCTCGGGGTTAAGAGAGGGATTAAAACTCTGTAGATCATTGGATATTTCGCGGTTAGTGGTAGAGATGGATTCCATGATGGCCATCCAGTTGGTGAAGGGAAGAGGAAATTTAAGTGATCTCATTGCAACAATTGTGCTCGCTATCAGGTTTCTCATGAATTGCTTTGATCATTGTTCTAGTTGCCACACTCTCAGTGAGGGAAAAGTCTACTGTATCCGAAATTATCACGTCAGCAATATCTCCAGCCAATTACAGTGTGCCATGTCAGTAATTTTTTCATCTCATTGGAAAAAATTGTTAACGTGGCTAATGAGTTAAAAAAAGTGATGACATGGCACACTTTGATTGGTTAGGGGGACTGCTAATGTGGTATCCTGAGACAGACTTTCTCCTCCGTGGGGGCAATGCGGCGACAGAGTATCTCCTCATGGGACTACCTTGCTACACTCCCTTCCTTTGGGTCTGAGTTACGTTTTGCCTGATGACGCTGTGGGAGCAACTTTCCCCAGAACTTAGTTTTTTTCTTATTACTGATGTACCAAAAAAAGTTCGAAGTTCAAAAGATTTGATAACCCCATCCGGAAACCCAAAAGTCGGTTTAAATTACTCCGATTCGAATTTGTCAGGGAGGAGAAAGAGATATTGAGGGCCATTGAGAAGAAGAAGAAGGAGGGGGAGGAAGCGGCTAAGGCAGAGAAGATTAAAAGGGATTTGACTGTGCCCAAGAGGAGGAACAGGTGGGATAAGGGGCAGGGATGATGGAACCTCTGCTTTGAAGAATGCAGAAACTACTTTGGACTTGGATTTGCCTGATGCATGTCCGGACATTGGGCGGTGGGATTCTACGCCTACACTTGTGGGAAAGAGAAAAGGTGGGACAAGACATGGACTGCAGAGCATTTGGATGACTCAAAGTGGTGAAGCAGTGTGTGAGTACAGAGGGTGTAGAAGCTGATTATATCAGAAACGATATCCTTCCTGAGTTCTTTCGTAATTTCTGTGTGAGAAGGATGATCGGAAAAACTACAAGCAGCTAGTTGAGACAACTGTTGAGATTGCAAACAAAGTTGGTGTTGCTGATATTGTGGGGAGAATAGTGGAGGATCTTAAGGATGGGAGTGAACCATACAGGCGAATGGTCATGGAGACAATTGCGAAGGTGGCTGCAAACTTGGGGGCTTCTGACATTGATGCTAGGTTGGAAGACCTCTTGATTGATGGAAGTCTTTATGCTTTCCAAGAGCAGACCAGCGATGATGCTAATGTGATGCTTAATGGTTTTGGTGCAGTTGTGAATGTTCTTGGGCAGAGAGTCAAACCTTATCTTCCTCAAATCTGTGGCACCTTTAACTGGCGTTTAAATAACAAAAGTGCTAAGGCAGCAAGCTGCAGATCTTATTTCAAGGGTTGCAGTTGTCATGAAGCAGTGTCACGAAGAACAACTTATGGATCATATTGGCATTGTCTTGCACGAGTATTTGGGGGAAGAATACCCTGAAGTTCTTGGCTCCATTTTGAGAGCTCTGAAGGCAATTGTCAATGTCATTGATATGACAAAGATGACTCCTCCAATTAAGGATTTGCTTCCTAGGTTGACACCAATTTTGAAGAACAGGCATGAAAAGATGCAGGAGAATTGTGTTGATCTGGTTGGTCGTATTGCTGATCGTGGTGCGGAGTTTGTTTCAGCTAGGGACTTGATGAAGATTTGTTTCGAGTTACTTGAGATGATTGAAGCCCACAAGAAAGGGATTCGGCGAGCCACTGTCAACACTTTTGGGTATATAGCAATAGCTATTGGGCCACAAGATGTATTGGGGACCCTGTTAAACAACCTCAAGGTGCAGGAACATCGGAATCGTGTCCGTACAAACTGTAGCAATTGCGATCGTTGCTGAGACCTGTTCACCTTTTACTGTTTTGCCAGCTTTGATGAATGAGTAGTGTGTCAGAACCTAATGTTCAAAATGGTGTCTTGAAATCCCTTTCTTTCCTGTTTGAGTACATTGGCGACATGGGAAAAGACCATCTTTATGCTGTGACTCCATTGCTTGAAGATGCCTTCATGGAAAGAGATTTGGTTCACAGGCAGACTGCTGCATCAGTCGTAAAGCACATAGCTCTAGGTGTTGCTGGGTTAGGATGTAAGGATGCATTGGTTCCCTTGCTGAATTATGTATGGCCTAACGTATTTGAGACTTCTCCTCATGTCATAAATTCTGTCTTTGAAGCTAGTGAAGGAATGAGGGTGGCTTTGGGCCCTGAAATTCTGCTATTACTGTCTCGAGGGTCTATTCCATCCTGCCCGGAAGGTTAGGGAAGTGTACTGGAAGATCTACAACTCTCTATATGTTGGATCTCAAGATGCTTTTGTGGCTGCTTATCCAATTCTGGAGGGTAAGAAGAAGAACATATATAGTAGGTCTGAGTTAATGATGTTTGTGTAGATTTGGAGTTTAGATGAGGGCTGATGCATTCTGGATCTCAGCTAGACTCGGCTGGAGCCCTTTCCTCAAAATTGTCCCTCATAATAAAAGTAACTGAGTCAGATGGATACCACGCAGGTTCGTGATTTTTCCCACATGAACAATAGATTGTTGGGTTTTTCCTGTTTGTTATCAAGTTAGAATTTTTCTTTTCTTTATTGAGAACCTACTCCTATTGTTTCTTTTGCATTTTACCAATTGGATTAAAAATATATATTTTTTCACTATGATGCATGGATGCAACTGTTTTTGTTCAGAACCATTACTATTTTTTAAGCAAAAACGCATGTGAAAGAGGACTGCTCTTGACCCAGGACTCCAACTACTTCACCTTTGATCAAAATAAAGCATTGAAAACAAAATCCCGTTTTTTCAACCACACATTATATACATACAGAAAACATCATATGCATCCATATGTTATCTACTTATTCAAAGAAATTAAATTCATGATGATGGGATTATTATATTTGATACCCTTGTTTCTTACAACAGGGATGGTGATTCATAGTTTTTACCCCGATTATTTTGTGGGTTCAGATGTTCCCAGGAGCATGCTTTTCAGTTTTCACTGATGGATTCACTTGGTCATGCCCTGATAGTCTCATTGATGTTCCCAGGTATGTGCTTCATGAATCTTTTGGCTATTTTGTCTCTCCAGTTATTGAATTGGTGAATACCAGTTTAAAATTAGAATTGTTTTGTTCCTGCATCGATGAAATCATAAATTTGTCGTCCGGAGAGGAAATAGAATGAAAAAAAAAAAAAATAGAAATAAGCACTTTTTTTTGGGCCATTGAAGTAAGCACAATCAGAAATTGTATGTTTCATGACGATTTTGAAATTTTATGTCACTGGAAGTTTTGGGATACAAGGTGCGACATGCATGATTTCGAGTCTTGGATGTTATTGTTAAATTACAGTTTTGATATGAAGAGTTATTTTGTGAAAGCTGCATAATAAGTTTGACAGTTGGTAAAGTTAATTAGATTTGATGGTTGATACAGAATTATTTATTGATTTATCCTACCCGCATACACAGTAATCTTGAAATCAGTGGTTTATCTTACGCTTTAAATTGATGACATTAAATTTTAGCCTGTTATTAGTTCTTCTGCTCTTCTTTTCTTTCGTAATAGTCGAGGCTTGAACTCCACCGTGCGGCCCATCAGGCCGCACGCCTCAACGAGGGTGGGAGATTATTTATTTTGGAGCTCGAATCTTTAACTACTAATAATTTTTAATTTAATTATTAATTATTATTGTTGTAAAAAAAAAAAGGTGATAGCCGAGGCTTAAAAATCTCATGGTTTAATTTAAAAAATTATTTTTTTTATTTTAATTTATAATCTTTATTTTCTTTTAAATTTATTTATTAACCTGTTTTGTTTCACTAGAAAGATGAAAAGAAATTTACTATGTTTGATTTTGTAGTGCTGAGATTGTTTTGAAGGCAATAATTTATAGAAGATGGTAGTCACTTTATTGGCATGGTCTTGAACCAGAAAAAGGCAATATGAATACTCCTCTTGGTTTCATGAAGATGTTTTTACATTTGTCTCATTGTGAATGGTGAAAAAATTGAATGTAATTAGGTTTCAAAGACTGTAGGACCAATATCAATACATGGTTTTAGCCTTTTAGGACATTGGCACTTGTTTCTTTTGGACTAACGCACTCACCCTGAAGGCCTAACCTTTTTATCTGGTTACAGAAAAATGAGGTTGTGGAAAAATGGTTAGCAAGTCGATATAGTTGTATGTCTTTCCAGATGCTTTTTTTTAGTAACTGTCACATGAAAGTGTCTTCTTGGAAATTTGATTTTTTTTTT